AGAAAATATAATCAAATTATAATCACACGAAAAATGACAACGATAAAGCCCGTAAAAGTTGAACAACGACGTGATGTTATGACATTTCTGACTAATTTGTTCTTATAATGTTTTGATTGTGTGAAAAAATTAAAAACACGTATCCAATATTTTTTGATAATCTGCCTATTTGACGAAGAAAAATGTCTGTTTTCAAACTTGGTCTCAAATTCCGATCAGAACTTAGATTTAGCTAGGACTTACGTTGTAAATGCTCTGCCACGATGTCATTTCTTTACTTATCATCAAAAATATCACGAAAATGCTTACAGTGATTTTATCAATATAAAAATGTATGTGGAAAAACCTTTTCATCTTAATGAAAGGCAAACATATTAAAAACCATCGGGAAAGAAAATACGCCTGCTTTTCAAGAAAAGCGAAATGTCTCGGAAAAAATATCATTATATCTTCGGTAGCACAGGAGGTCACTTGAGTTAGTTAGAATATATCTTGCAGTATATCAGTATGTACTTACTTATTAGTTTATGGATTACCTTACAGCATATTACCTCAACAAAGTTGAAATGAAAAAGAAAAAACGGACATATGCGAGTCGGACTCGCCCACAGGATGCCGTACAAATTTGTAGGTACGCAACATAAACGGCCGTATCTCTTTTTTAACGTTAACTTAGAAGTTTCATTTTTCACAGCTTAAAGGGACCGTAGACCTGAGTATATGGTTTAAATTTTAACTTGCTTCCCCCACCCGAGATAAGGGGTCTTAATCTGTTAAGACGGACAACAAAGTGAACCTATAAGGGTTCCGTTTTTTCTTTTGAGTTATGGGACCCTAGAAACTTATTATAATACTTTAGACAACTGATTTTGACCTTTATTTATTAAGTCTATAAAAACAGTTCACAAACAAACACAAGTTTCAGAAAAAAATGTCACACAAAATTGCCTTGAGCATAGTTTAAATCAGTGTATAACTTTTTTGTGCTACAACCCAGAAAAACATTTATTTTTAATATTAATAAATATTTATCGTATACGATACTTTTAAGTAAGAATTAAGTTAATTGATAAACTTACTTTTAATTGAATTTGTAATTTATTATTAACCTCACAGTAGGTGCATAAAGTAGAGTATTTTCCTTGGTAATAAAAGTATCTTCGCTTCATTCAGGACTCTTACTTCGTTCGAGAAATAACTACAAAATTATGTCCGTCACATAATAAAACTGCTTTATTTACCCTACCCTACACCCTTATTAATAAACGAAGACTAAACTCAGTCTAGTTACTCTATGGCCCGTATTACAGAAAGATTCTCAATAATTAACCCAGTCTTGAGCACAGTTAGAAAGGGATGTCGCTATGTATAGCACATAGCGCCCCCCTTTTCTAACTGTACTCAAGTAAAGATCAACACTTAGTTGTCATTCTGTAATACGGGCCTTAGTTGTCATTTTGTAATACGGGCCTATGTGTTGTTCATATCACTCAAGTGCCATTTAGCATTCAATTAACAGAGACAAAACATAGAATAACTAATCCAAGCGTAGTCTTCGTTTATTCAAAAGGGGGCTAATGTTTAATCTACTATTGCTCTATTAGAGATAATATACCTAATTATATAAGTACTAGCGAATCTCATAGTAGACATATGATGTGAATTTTTTTATGTATTTATACTTATTACACAATGTGAACATAGTTTGTGACGCGCCACATCAGTTCTAGGTCAGTCCTACTGATTCTGAGGCCCAGCACCCTGCCTCTGTCGCATTTCGTAACATTCGCGAGAAAGTCATATACTAAAAGGATGTATACCTACCTACCGACTCGGCTGCCCAAAACCAAAACACAGTAAGCCACATTTGGAAAATTTTACAGAACGAGCAGAAAATTGTTTTTTCCTGTCTTTAGCATATTTAAACGTAGTGTAATAAAATGTTATACATCAATCAAAGCGTACTTTACTGCCTGTTTTTTTAGTATTTTTATTTTTTTACATAACTCATCTAAAACAAAATATATAAATGTTTGACCTAGTATGGAACAAATCCTTGTTCTTTCTGATTAGAACCGGACTGAAAACTAACACAAACCACAGTATCTCTTACTCTAGGCGTTACTAGGTTTTTGTCTTTTTTTCTAAATAAATTATTATTCAATTTAACACTAACTTGCAGCTTACACATGCAGACATTTTTAAGTGCCCTTTTAAATTTTTTCATCCTATTTACCGTTAATTGAGCAAATTTTTGTTTACCTATTTAACTGCTCTGCTCTGTGCTGTTTCTATATCATATTAAATCAACCTTTTTACATCCTTCTTTTTATCTTGTAACAACATGCTGACAATAATTATGTTCATGCTTTTATTGGAATAATGTAGCAAATTTTTAATAACGTACACAAAAAAATTGGTATTGGCGATGCTCGGTATTTCAATACGCGATAGAATCAGAAATGAGGAAATCCGTAAGAGAACCAAAGTAACCGATATCGCTCGAAGTATTGCTCTGCTGAAGTGGTAGTGGGAGGGGGCGGGACACGTAGCAAGAAGAACCGATGGCCGTTGGGGCGGAAAAGTTCTGGAAGGGCGACCACGCGCCGGTGCTCAGTGTGCCCACTACCTACAAGATGGACCGACGATCTTGTAAAGGTCGCGGGAAGCCGATGGATGCGAGTGGCGCAGGACCGATCGGTGTGGAGATTCTTTGGGAAGGCCTATGCTCAGCAGTGGGCGTCGAACGACTGACATAATGATGATGAAGACACAAGAAAGTAATGGAAAAAGCTAGTATTGTTTTAAAAACATCTGCTGGTACTAGACCTTCCGTTTACCGAATTTGAGGAATATGTATATACTAATAAGAAACACATTTAATTTAAATTAAATTATAAATCAGGACAGCTAAAAAATCTTTTTTACTTAGCCTTACTGTGTCTTATTTTTGGGCAGCCTTACTGCCTATTAACACATATTTTGCGTTACGTCAATAGTTTAAGTAACTATAATTTACATGAAAATTAGGTACTCACGATACCAATTAAAAAGTTATGCTACTTTTTCGTGCCATTACCTATTTGCACGCAAATTTTATTAATTATAACTATAATTAAAAAAAAACAGTGCCTTTATCACGGCATTGAGTACATACTTTCTATAAACACTTACGCAAAAAATATAAAATTTAATGTCAAAAATTTTATTCTTGAGACCTATTTTTAGTTAAGTAGAACTTAGAGTTTATAAATGTTTATATGATTTATACCAATGTTTAACAAGCCGTATGTTAACTTATCTGCGTAACTTGCGTTGTCTAAGTACATACCTCTGCTACAATATATCGATATTGCCATTAGAGCTTATTGTATTACAATTTCATTTACAATCCATTGACGAATGAAGTATTGCAAGTATACCGACTTTCTAAAGGGTAAAGTTCATCACGTCGCATCGCTTTTTACTTTACTACCTACTTACAATGAAACTTTACAACGAAATATGAAACGAAGCTTAATGTAAAATTATGTGAAAGCTGCCGCGAAATACGTACCCTTGTACTAAAGTTAGGACACTCTGTATGCGAGACTATAATTGAAATACGTTATTAATACCTGCCTACCTGATGATGAAATTTACACAAAACTCAACTCATTATCACGAGAAAGCTAAGGGAAAGAACATTAAGCTGTCTTATTCAATGATTTCATTATTACTTTTAATAAATTTGGACTTTATTACCTGAGCAGACTTAAGTGTAAAGTTACTCAGATATCACTACGTCTACTGGGTATAACTTTAAGCTGCAATGTCAGTAACGTCACGTTAAATTGTATTTTTTACAAATAAAGATGAAATTGGGAGTAAATATTTAAAAGAATAATGAACCATGTTACAGAACAATATAGAGTCGGGAGATGTAGATGAAAGATTTTAGAACTTTATTAGTTAAAATTTGTGTTATAACTTGTTAATTAAATTTCGTTAAGTCATTGTTTTTTATTAAATTTTGAAGCATTTAATAGCTAAACGTTTTAAAGTAAAGAAAAAATCAGTAAAATAGAATCTACTCAATCCAGGGTTTCAGGCGGGATTCGAAGCCGGATCTTCCGCACTCATAGCGGAAGATGTAAAAAATATTTAGTTGTCAATCAATGCAAAAACTATGAAGAATATATTTCACATTGTATGTAGGTACCTAATTCACTCGCGGTCTTTGAATACGGCATGATAACAACGAATTTATATTTATTTGTGTAAAGTTTTCCATAACAGAATATTAATTTATAAAATAATAATAATATCGCAAATTTAATACATTTTATGTAAACATATTTATTTATTATATTTCCGCGCTCACTAAATATATGGTAAAACACTTTTTTAACAGGTTTAAAATAATGCTCGGTTTATGACTTTTTCATTATTCTTGATGTCTCGGATCGTTCACAGACTCCGTTATCAAGAATAGGTAATGAAAAATGTTTAAATAGTATTTTATTACACATTATAAATATTTCCTTATTAGCAAACCCGAAGAACTATAGGTGATTCGTTTAAATAAAATGCGATACTTGCGTGTTTCTGTAATCAGTTACGTTTACACTTGTTATGCCACCCAACTATGAAATAACCATAATAATCTGTTATATTTTGTAATCATGCTTATAATTTTCTGTTATAAGCATTATTACAGAATATAATCAACAGTTTAATATCAAATAAAAAATAATAAAACCTCCAAAATGCTAAAACACGAGAAAAATTCGAAATATTAAAGAATTAATATTTAACAACAAAATAATACATATTCACTTTTATGATTTTATAAAAAATCCTGGTAAAACATATAAAAATATCTATCACCACATACAGGAAGGACACTATCGTTGTATAGAAATAAAAACAATCTTATAGCGACCGAGTAACAAATGATTCCAAACGCGTGTAAATTAATACACTATGTTATATTAAACTTTAAAATATAGAATACATACCCCACTTGTATGATTGCGTACAAAATCCCTGGTAAAACATACAAGAATATCTATCACCACTGCCGAAAGGTCACTGTTTGTCGTAAGTAATAGAAAAAAAAACAAATTACTCGAGCGCGATCGGTGTTCAATGGAAACTCGAAAGAGGCGCAAGCGCATACCAGCTCGGTGGTCGTGCGAACACTGCGCTCCCAGCCGCCGCCACGCCAACCGGTATGAAAGTGCATAACGTCTAATTAATATCACTTATACGAATTTTCCTAACATTTGCCCAGTTATTATGTCAACAGCGTATCATATATAATGTTGCATAAACGTCTGCCGTCGATTGACTCTACAAATTGCTTAACATAGTTTGTAGATGAGGATTAACATGTAGTTTGGTATGAAAATATTCCTTAAAGTTAAATGCAATCAGCATCCTACTTATAAATAAGTATAATTATTATCCTACTAATATAATAAATGTGAAACTTTGTATATTTGTCAGTCACGCAAAAAGACGGAAAATATTGAACTGAAATAGACAAAGCTTTTATCCCGGAGTGTGAGATTCCTGTGGATTTATCAAAAGTCGATATATTTAAATAGTTGGTAGATAGGTTCTTTGAAATTCAAACGCCCTATTCCATTCACAGTGATAACCTATGTCCCAGCAGTAACAAAAAAGCTGACGATGATGACGAAATAAGGACAAACTCCTACTCTTAATAGTCAGTAAAACATTAAAATTGAAAAATTATCCGGCAGTGTTCATAAGTATATAATCACACAAATGGTGCTACTCTAATTTCAAGAATAATATACTTAGACCAATGGCTCATACATAATACAAATATTTAATAAAAAACCTCCTTCCCCTCAAAAGCAATCATAATATTCTTTCATCGCAATATTTTACTATCACATCTCGATAGAGCTCGTCCTTCATATTATTAGGACGTAAATTACGTGATATTGGATACGCACAGCGTGAGACCATTGTGTAAAATGAAAAGAACAAGTAATAAATCCGATCCAGTGTAGTACCACAGCACTTTGGATGGGACCATTGTCGTTATCTCGTTTTTATTCTATGAGAAAATACGGTTTATTCCATGAGAGAATAAGGAGAGCTACTCTGAACGTCTCATAACAAAGATTCGGATGAAATAAACAATTATTATCCTACTTATTATGGAGCCGCGGAGCGGTCCGTCAAAGAAGATACTGAATCATTCAGGGCTCTTATTAGAAAAGTATGACTGTCTTTTACCTACTGATGGCTGTAGATTCAGTCACCAAGTATAGGATGCAAGTAAGTCCCGAATATATTAATGGTATAATCCAATTACTGTTCTCTTTTCTAGCTTATTCCAACACTAACTCACAATCCACTTCTCCTTCACCGTCCAACGCAATGAAACCGCAAATGTTATAATATAAAATATGTTCATATCCAGTGATTTTAGTTGGTGAAAAATATTCAAATTGTCTAGCTTTAGTAAATTGTTGTTTCTAGTAAAATGTTGCAATACAAAAAGTGCAACATTACGAATGTTGAATTCAATGGGCAAAGCATTAATAAAATCTTTTCTAAAAGTGTACAGTTCGTTTAAAGACCTCCGAACGAACAATGAGATAGGAACGTGTGATCGAAATAGGTCCCCAGAACACCAGCAACACAAGACCAAGTAAATGTCTTTACTTAATACAATGCTTACACAAGCAGTGGTTACAAAGACTAGCAACATCGCAAGATGTAGCTTATTTTTTTATTTTAAAAACGATTAGTACCTATTTGATTGCATTGATTTGATAACATTACATTTAGGTGTAATGACATTCAAAATGTGATTATTCATTTTTGCATATAATAAAGTTACTTTTAATTAACTTTGATTTTACTATTAACAAATTAAGTTATTATTATGTATATAAATAGACTTATATTATACCATCTGAAAAAACTCTTATCCAAGCTTAGAGCATATATCAAGCTCTAAGTATTAAATTACTTTTGTGTTAAGTTGTTTTTATTAAGTTATTTTAATAAAACGTTAAACAGAGTGCGGATCATTAACGCAGGCCCCCCGCTGTTAAAGCGCACCGTCCTTTATATTTCCAATTAAATTAATCGTACGTCACACTCACAGCAGTATCATTAGGGAACGAGTAGGCTTGCCAGATGGCCGGAAAATCCGGGATCGTCCCACAATTTTGCGTCTTGTCTCGTGTCCAGTAATTAGATCTTATTTTCCCAGAATTCCCGAATACTAGTTTTTTCACAAAATCTTATTATAAATACAACCATTTGAAGGGTTTTAATACTAATGGGGGTGCAAATGTCCAGGAATTGATCGACAGAATACCTATATTAAGGCATTCGTTACTGACCTATATTTTGGTTTGATGTTTAGTTCTGGGGGTGGCTGCAAATGTCCCGGGATTGATAAGTCAGTATCTGGCAACCCTAGGTACGAGTGAGTTTGGACCGACAAAAGGAGGAGGATGACGTCACTACCGCCCGATATTAACCGCTCTGACAAATTACGACCTTTAGTTCGTGTCGGCAAAGAGGCTTCCGTTATATGCTTAGGCAAGAAATAAGTATGAGTTTAGTCGTGTCGCTGCTCGAGAGGTTATCTTTACCCGCCACACTTGCACCGCTGGTCTGTGAATAGATGGTAAGTAGGGGAAAACTGGGACTTGCCCAGGTGGAAGAAATGAAATTATACTTTATTCAAATTGACTTAATTAAATCTCTTTTGAATCGTCCATTTTTTTCCTGCCACCCATCTGGACATCTTTTGGCTGATGAGAAGAATGGGCGCATGAAACTCATCAGCATTTAACAGAAGAAGTAGCATTTACATAAATCATGTCCCTACCAATACAATGTACACTCACATTTTGAACGCTGTGTCATACAGTATAATAGGTATAACTAGATTTCGATAATAAAGTAATTAGAGCAGACTCATCTCCCCTGGCAGCACCCGTTCACGAGCATGACGCATGAACCAGCCATAGCTTCGCTCAACCATATTTTAGGGAACGTAGAACCCGCCTCACACGACACCATTCAAGAGATTTTTAAGAGAGCATGACTACTCATAACCTCCTGTACTAAACTGCAATTTAAATAGTTATACTTAAAACTAAGTTCATTTATTTATCTGTAAGACATAACAAACAATTACAAAAAAATAAAGGTAACACAGTAGACGGCTCACAAATACTTCGTAAATAATATTAAACTATCCTACTCAATTGAGATATTTTAACCATCTTCAAAATTATATCTAAATTTACCACAAACAAAACATCAATTTGTTAATAGGTCTTGTCAGACTATTTTGTTGCGTTTTGTTTGCGCAAAATTTAAATACAATTTCGAAAGATGGTTCATCTCTCCAACCTGGGCAAGTCTCCCGGTTTTCCCCTTCATTATACCTAGTTATGAATCATATCAAGGCCCATAATTAAAGTGCTTCATACGCAGTGTAAAGTGATATCCCATTTCTTAAAACTACCTTTTGGAACCCATTAAGCGATTCACTCTACCGGTGAAAGTTCTTAATTTATCATTGTGCTCTGAATAGACTCTTTTGAATACGTGGGCTGTTCCAAAAATCGACGATTCTAAATTTAACAGATATTTAGAAGCGGATGCGTTATGTAAATGGATAAAGAATATAATACCACAGACGCCATTCCTTCCTTCGTGTTCGCTGTTCTACTTCCGGAAAGCGAGAGGCAGAAAAACTTCGCAATATCATTCAATAAAAAGTGTTATTTTCCGTACTCACATACGGTATTACTCTATATAGGTTTACTCAAAGAGAGTAAAAATCAACGTGTGGACCACAAAACTCACAAGTCGAAGGCTCGTTCGTGGGATGCAGTGCATCGATTTTTACTCGCTGTAAAGTAAACCTATCGAGTAATACCATATGTGAGTACTGACCATAATAAAGTCTTTTAGCAGAATTACTGCTATTGATCCAGTGCCTTGAAAAAAAAACTGCAATTATTTTTTAATCTTAAATAATTATTCAACAAATGGTCAAAAAATGTATTTTATATGAGGAGCGCGCGGTAAGAATTCATTACGCACGCTCCCATTCATGGCACCGTGCGTATTCTTTACGGTTTTTTCTTCGGTCGAATCACACTAGTTTAATCGGCGCTGCGGGTTAGAGTGAGAGAGGAGGAGTATCTACATTTAGCATGAAAGCTGTTAAACTAAATGAGCACAGGAGATTGGCAGGTGAAAAGGGGATTGGAGGGTGATATGGGATTCGCGGGTGATGGAGGGATAGAGGTTTGGTAAGTGATAATAAGTGATTGGAGGACGATAGTGGGGATTGATGGGTGAAAAGAGATTTGAGGGTAAAAAAGGGATTGGAGGGTGTAAGGGGAGAGTAAAAAAGGGGATTCGAGGGTGTAAAGGGAGAGTGAAAAGGGGGATTCGAGGGTGTAAAGGAATTCAAGGGTGAAAAGGGGATTGGAGGGTGAAAGGGATTCGAGGGTGATATCCGAGGGTGAGGGTGAATAGAATCCTTTTACTTAAATAATATATTGATTTAACTTTGTTAGGCTTATTCATAGGAATTGATTTTGTTTTTTTTTTATAAAGGTAGTATAACTGGTCCTTAGGGATGAGCGCTGTGTCTGTGATACAGGTATTTTTATAACCTAGTACAGGCACAGAGGATACTATAAAATGTTTATTCTAAGCTATACTGTATATTGTGTTGTAAGATTCTTGAAAAACTGGCTTTTGTGATAAATAAATATTATTATTATTAAAGGGGATTGGTGGGTGATAGTGGGGATTGATGGGTGATAATAGTGGATTGGTTGATAATTATAGGAACTGTTTTCTCGCAAATGTGTTGAAAAACGTTGTACGATATTCGTGCGGATTGATATTTACTCGTAAATATGGTAAGCCGACATTCGTCTACTCGTTTTTAATAACCAACTTACCGCACTTTTATAATAAACTAGCGGCCCACCCTCGCTTCGCTTCGGTGTAGAGCTAAAGTGTAGACTACAGTTTTTGTTCTCAGGCTTGTCACAGGTCACACAATGACATTCATCTATGATTCTTCTTATACCTGCATGCAAAGTCTCAGCCCGATCGGTTGTAAAATTGACAAAGTTTCATTCCCTATTTTATCCCTTTGGGGGTAGAATTGGTCAAAATCCTTTCTTAGCGGATGCCTACGTCATAACATCTACCTTCATGCCAAATTTCAGCCCGATCCGTCCAGTGGTTTGGGCTGTGCGTTGATAGATCACTATGTCAGTCAGTCACCTTTAAGCTTTATATATATGTAGATAACTATTCCCACACTAGTGCCAATTAGCTTAGCCCCAAAGTAAGCACTGTGAGGCTTGTGTTACGGGATACTAGGGTAATGGATAGAATACATATACTGATACATATATAAGTATATTTTATGAAGAAATATATATTAACATTCATCACTATGGTACAAATGCTCGTATTCATCA